GCTGGGGCATTCTGGGAGTTGAAGTCCACACATCTTAAAGTTGCCAAGTTTGAAAAACACTGCTTAAAATATTCAAAATCTTAGAGACCTTATCACAGCCGTCCTGAAGACATCACTGGGAGGTGAGGCAGTGCTATTACCTGAATATTAAAGGGTTCAGGTGGGGAATTGTTTTGCAGGTAAAGGGGACATGCTTGGAGGGGATATTCTGATTCTGCATTTTAGCCAGAGTCAAAGTCCCATTCCACCCTGAAAATCAAACACAGATCTGCCTTGTTTTCAGAATTCGGACTTTGTGTCACGTTTGATTTCTTTGCCTTTGGGGAAGAGGGAGGCATGTATTTAGCAGCATTGTAGGGGAAGATAAGCTCATGTGGCGGTATTCTACCTGGGTGATCCATTTTGAAAAGCAGATGACCAACCTTGTCTGATATTATTATTACTTATTTAAATGTATTGGCTGCCCAATGGAATTTGAAAAATGAAGCAAGGTGAGAGTGGTTAGGACTTGGATGGGAGACCACAAAGAAACCTTAGAGTTGTAGCTGGACTGGGAAGTCAAAAGTCATTCTGGAAGACGGCAGCGACAAAGCTTTTCTGTAGAGGGGCCAAGAAAACTACATGGTTATGTTCATGAAATGGCCAGGAATTGAGGTTGACTCTCAGGAAATGCTATCCTTATTTTCTTGTATTTTATTCAAGCAAGTTCTGCTACAGCCGTTGATGCAACCCCACGTAACTTCTGAGCTTCACGGGGGCTTGGTTACATGCCACAGGCCACTCAGCCCACTGACTGCTCCAAGTTTACCATCCGGCACATGAACCTTTAAAACAATTGGTTGTTTTCTGAATGTTTATCTTCATGCCCGTGTTTCAGGCATGCCTGCACCACATTTCTGGCCACTGCAGTGCAGAAATGTGCATTTTGGAAATGTGCAACTTTTGTAAACATATCACTTCAAAAAAAGATCTGGGACACTTGCCCCCTTCCTCGGCACGGCTGGGTCTGAAATGAGGCCGATAGCCAGGGCTGAAAAGAAAACTAGAATATTATCTTCCAGCCAAACTATAAATCTGTCAAACCCAGGCCTGCTACTGTATTCTCATTTACCAACTGGGCAATGGTCCCTCTAGCAAGGATCCTGTAAGCCGTGGGCTTGTAAAATACGTAGGCTTGGTGTCACAGGAGATGGCTCGATGCCTTCCCCAGCTGGTGAATGAACCCCCTCCAGCTTTCCAGCTCCCTGTGGACTATGGGACCAGCTGAGACTGGAGAGTGTCTTGGAGAAGTCAGTGAGAGAGGACGGGGGCCCATCCTGGAGACGTCCCACCTGTCCTAGAAATTCAAGGCTGCTTGCCTGCTGATGAAGTCCATCTGGGCCCTTCCCAGTGTCTAGACCAGTGTTTCTCAAACTTAGTACCTTTTAAAAGGT